AACACAACCCAACCCAAATTCCAGCAGGAAGTTTTGTAGATAGCGACAAGCGAATTCTAAAATATATTCGGGAAGACAGAGAACCTAGAACAGCCGAAACAATTTTGAAAAGGAACAAAGATTGGAAGAGTCATACTCTCCGATTTCAAGACTTGTTGTAAAGCTGCAGACACTGAAACCGGCTGGTGCTTGTTCTCAATGGCGGAACACAGTCCAGAAACAGACTCACAAACATAGGGCCACAAGCTTTTTTTTTAAAGGTGTAAAGGCAATTCAGTGGAGAAGGGGCACATAATCCTGAGACACCAGGATCTTAACGTGCAGTACGAGGCTATCTCGGCCCATACCCTCGCCTGTAGCAAAGTCAACTAAAAATGAACCATAAACCTGAATGTAAAACACAAAACGATAAAACTTTGGAGCAAGCATAAAATAAAAATCTTTGCAACCCAGGTGAGGTAAAGAGTTCTCAAATGTGACACGAATCATGACCTATTTAAAAACTGATAAACTGGGCTTTGTCCAAATTAAGTACTTTCATTCTCTGCAAGACTCTGAAGAGAATGGAGAGAAGCCAGACTAGAGGCAGATGCTTACAAACCACACACAGAACAAAGATCATGTGTCCAGAACACATAAAGAGCTCCAAAGTCAAAAGCGAGGTAGGAAACAACCTGTTTTCATGGGCAAACGTTTGAGCAGGCTGCTCGCAAGGGGCTCCTTCGATGAACAACCGCGACCTGACAAGAGGCTCTGTGTCATTGGTCATGAAGGAAGCGCAATCCGAAACCGTGATGAGATTCTCTTAAAACAGCTCTGAGGAGGGGGAACACAGGACAACAGCAAGCGCACGGACATGGGCACCCCTGTTCTCCGCCACTGGGGACACCGCACAGCCACCTGGAGAAACAGCACGCCGGGTCCCCACGACACCAAAAACACTCTTGTCGCACAACCCGGCAACCACACACGTGGGTATCACCCAAAGAGAACCAGAGCCGATGCTCCCAGAAAACCTGCACGTGGCTGCTTGTAGCTTTATCCACATACACGAACCCTGGAAACTCAAACGTCCCTTAGTGGTCGGGGGGACAAGCACACCGAGATGCCCTCGCACCACAGAAGGACAAAACCAACTGTGCTCCGGGCAGCCGCGTGTCTGGGTCTGGTGTGTGTTGCTGGCACCCAAGCTCCCCGCTGTAGGAGCCCACCTATAGGCACCCTGAGAACAGCGGTCGGAGAAGGCCGCAGGGGCGGGAGAACGTGGCTCTGGTGGCCGGGCCCCACACACGGGCGGCACCAGAGGAATTCAGGCACGATGGTATTGCTGTCTTCTTCACAATGGTGGCCACACCACACTGCCAATAAGAACACGTTTTAGCATGCGTGAACTTAAAAATAAGTGTGAGAAAATGTACCCACGGCACGCCAGAACTCTAGTCAGGGTCAGGTGGCCCGCAGCCCGGCCCCTCCCAGGCCCGAGTCCACAGTTCCTTGCTAGTCAGCTGCCCTGTCCACACCAAACACTACAGACCGCCTTAAAAGTGGGAACAGAAGCCCAGGACGCTGCTAACTGCGATCTAATGTGTGTGTTTCCAGAACCTACCTGTCCCATGCCTAGCGCCTGTGCCAAGGTGCTCACCTGGCGGCCCCTCTGGCCACCCGCCCTGGCTTCTTGAGGCAGGCAGGGGCCCAAGAGCACTAACCACGGATAAAGAAACGCCAGGCCCAGCCCCAACACCAACAGGGATCCTGGACCCCCAACCGCTCCAAATCTTGGTTTCTTCATCTTAAAATAGTGGACGTTAGACCACAGGCCCTTTAAAGTCTGGGCCAGCACTACATTTTTATGAATTTAGGATGCCTGTCATAAACCTCTCATTTTTTCCAGTTTCTCTTTAACAGACTGAAGATTAGAAATAAAAGCTGGATTTTCTTGTTATTGCTGCTTGGTTTGTTTATTTTGCTGTTAGGGAATATTTTTAAACTTCAAAAAGAGTCTCTAATCACAAAGTTTGAGAACTGCCACACTAGAAACGTGGTGAGGAGAACCCTCACCATACAATCTAGACTGCTTCCAATCTGAGGGAACTTCCAGAAACTTCCGTGGTCACAGAGAACGTGTTACAAGGGGTGGCAGAAGGAAGCTTCAGGAGCTGTTGGCCCTGTCTTCAAGATGGAGTGGGGCAAGGGGACGGCCGTACAGCCCCCTGTGCCGCGGCAAACTGACCAGTAGCCTCGAGTCCCACCCCAGAGGGTAGTGCTCTGAACGCACACACTGGGCCAACAGGACGTATGGGGCTGGGTGCCGCCCTCCGGCCCCCAGGGAGCTGGTCAGCTCTGGAAGGTCAGGCTGGGCCACTTCCTAGTCTCTAGCTGTGCTGGGACTACCGTGCTGCGTCCACGTCCTGAGGTCCCCAGGTCCTCGGGGGAAACCTGGTCCTGCTCGGAGAGCAGAGAGCAGGACGGCTGCCGAGGGCCAGCAGAGGGGCTGGAGGGCAGTGGTGTGGACATGTGTGGAACATGCCCCCGGGCTCCCACAGGAGATGGGGGTGTGCACATGCTTCTGTATTTATAGTCGGAACACAGTTTAACAAAGATTTCATGTTTAAGATTTTATTATCTTAATTTTTAACATGAATTATAAAAAGAGTCATGCCAGTTATATTTTGCCAAGAATAAAACTCAAGCTGGCACAATGTTTTCCAGCCCCAAGCTCACCAGCTTGGAAAAAATCCAACTTTAAAGGAAAAATTAATATTTAAGAATTCACTTCCGAAAAACATGGTAAATAGTGAGGTATGGAAATATTTCCTCTCCTGAAACCACAGTATTTCTAAAAGCTACTCTGCTGTTAGGACCCCTGCTCTGCTCCAGACGGGACGGAAAGATACAGGGGCTCTAAGAACAGGGTCCCCAGGTGCCCGCCATACAGAATTTTCATGGAAATCCAACAGTAACCCAGCAAACTGCAAGTATATGGTTGCTTGTATTTTTGTTTTTTAAAAAGGAAGTGATTTATAAATTCTGTGATCTTCATGAGAACCATCGCCTCAGCAGGCGTGAAGGCCTTGGAGGGCAGTGGAAGGTATATGGGACTGTAGGTGTCCCTGTGAGGGTCATGGGTGCATAGAGGGGTCATGGGGTCTGTGGGGAATCAGGGGGCCTACGGGGTCATGGGGCTCCTATGGGGATTGTAGAAGTCCTGGAGGATCATGGGGGACTGCAGGGAGTCATGAGGCCACGGGGTCATGGGGGGTTCCCTTGGGGACCACTGGGGGTCATGGGGATCATGGGGGACCATGGCGAGTTGTGGAAAGTCATGGGTTTGTGAGGGTCCCTGGGGGGCCATGGGGGGTCATGGGAGGCCACTGGAGGTCAGGGGGTCATGGGGATCCCTGTGGGGACCATGGGAGGCCATGGGGTCGCGGGGGACTGTAGGAAGTCATGGGGGATCATGGGGTCATGGGGGTCCCTGTGGGGACCGTAGGGGGCATGGGGGTCATGTGGGGGCCATGGGGGGTCAGGGGTCATGGTGGCAGATAGGGACCCCCAGATCCGAGGCAGGAGCATCTCTGGCTCCCCTCCAACCAGCCCAGATGCTTTCCATCTGCCCACCTGTCAGTCAGCAGATGGTAGAACCCCACCCTCCACCTACCCTTTAGGTGAGGCACTGTGGGGACATCTTGGCTGAGGTGCCCTAGGGGCACATTCCCCACCACCAAAGCCCACATGCCAAACAGCTGAGCACCCAGGAATTCACACGCAGACAGCTGGAAGCCACCCAGAGGGCCAGGGAAAGCGCCTGGGGGGGAAGCAGACTGAAGGGTGGGAAGCGAGACTCGGGCGGGGGTGAACCAGGCAGAAGATCCCTGTCCCCTGTCCTCCATGAGGGGCGCCGGCTCGCAAACAAACCTCTGAGCTCATTCCTGCGGTGAAGGCACCAGGGCAGCAGCTGGGCCATCAGGCAGCGCACGGGCCGGCCAGTGGGTGAGGACCCGGGGCTGCCCTTCAGGACCCGCCTGGGACAGGCCGCTCTGGCTGCCGCAGGGCAGCTGGGGTGCAAACAGAACACTGAGCGAGACTGCTGGGGGCCCCCGAGAAGGGGCCGATGGGCTCCAAGCAGACTCAATTTCATCAGCATAAAAGGAGCCAACGCGCCACCATTTCTGCCTTTAGCGCGTCAGCCCAACAGACGGGCGAGTGTGTGCAGCTGAGGACACTTCACTTTGAGGGGACGGGACTGCCACCAAGCAGGGCTGAGCGCTGGGAACCCAGTGTTGGGGTCCCAAAGGGGACACGCAGGGGGATACATGGGGCCCGGCTCCTCTGGGATTGCCAGGGGAAGCACGGCCTCGGGGGCACCTCAGCGGCTGGTTACAGGCCCCTCCTGAGGTGGGGAAAACCAGGGTCTCTCAGCCACCGGTGGAGGCAGCGACCCCCTTGCTCTGTACACAGTGACTCAACCCAGCCCGGAAAACTCCACCTCGCTGTCCTATCTTGCTTGAGGAACTGAGCCACGCATGCCCCTGCCCCTTGAGAAGCGGGCCACGGGAGAGGGTCAGGAAGGGCATGGCGCCTCAGAGTCACCAGGGGTGAGAGGCCCCGGCTCGGGGGAAAAGGCTGACCCAGGCCCCAGATGCCGTGCGTGTAATATGGACAGCTGGGCCAGCCTGCACCTGCCACACCCTGCAAAACTCGTGCGATTCTCTGTCATTAATAATAACAATAATTCTGAAAAACCCTGCCGAATTGACTGACAAGTAAAACCAGAGAATGCAGAATGAGAAATGGTTTTTACACTTGAGGTGGATGGGCCAAGGCCACCTCTGGTTCCCTGTCCCAACCTGCTGGGCCTCACCTGGGCATCTGTGTCTGACCCCCTGCTGCTCCCAGGGCCACATTTCCAGTAAATTGTTAGCGGTCCAACCTGACGACCAGCGGGCAGACAGACCCCGCGCAGCGTGACAGGCATGTGATGGGAGGACGAGGGGACTCACCTCCAGCAGCAGCCTTCCCTCCAGCACGGTGGACCCTCCGTTCAGACCACTGTCTTCTGGTGAGGGGGTACCAGCCGCTGGCTGCCGTGGGCACTTCTGCACGGCTGTCAGAGGAGAACGAAGCAAGTCTGTCAGCACCCTTCCTGGGCCCCAGACCTTGGCCGTCACCCTCCCAAGCCGCATTCCCAAGCTGACCTGGGGTCTCCTCCGTGGGACGCATGGGGGCAGCACAGCTGGAACTGGACCCGGGCCGACCAGGGCAGCCAGGTGGGAGCACCAAGTGTGATATTCAGGAGATCAGGCCATCGGGGCTGGGCCTCACCTCGAGGACCCCACCCCTACTCTGCTCTGCAGAAACTGCTCTCTGCCCCCTCCTATAAACCCCTCAGAATCCCGCCCAGCCTCAGGGACACCGCCCAGGGGTCCCCAAGGTCCTCTCTGGAGACCCAAGCTCCAGTAGGTGCCCTAACTCGGCACTGCTGGTCTCCATAACTCAGACCACCCTGGAAGTGCCCACGCGACCTCATCATGCCCCCAGCTCCCCCAACCGCTCCCCAACCCCCAACCTGGTGTGGAGCAGCCCACACTGCACGGAAGGCCCCCCTGGCATGACTCAGGTGCCCCCCAAGGGTGGCAGCTTCCTGGCCCTCCCCCAGCCCCAACCCCAGTGTGGCCCCATCTCCGTTTTGGGGTGAAAGCTCAGACATACAGACATGCCGTCCACATCCCCGTTTACTGGCACCTGTTGTGGACCCCCAGTTGCATGCCCAGGGTCCCCATCCACATGGAGAATTATGGGAGGACCCTTGGGGTGCAGAAAGGGGGCCACCCGGAGCCTCCTTGGAGGGCTGGGCAGACCAGGAAGGGCCTCCCAGTTGCCCCTCAGGTCGGTTTCCAAACTGAAGCTGCAGGTGATGTCAGTGCAACTGGGGGTCAAAGGGCCCTGCCTGGGGCAGGCAGAACCCTTGCATTTGTCCAGGTCTTGGGAGAAAATACAAACACGGGCACTTAAATCTCCCGCATTTTCTCTTCCAAAACCACCAAGCTGTGCTGAACTCCTCCAGGGCACGTGGGTCGTAGTGATTGTGCTACCCAGGTAGTTTTTACTTCATCAGCACCTTCACACCCCCCTGAGCCGCACTCAGAGCCAGGGTCTGCCCCACATCCACTGTACCTTCCCCCCCATATCAGCGAGCTATGGGCAGCAGCTGCTCCGCCACGGAGTTTGATAGAAATTCAGGCCCCCAGGTCCCCAGAGCCCAGGGACTGCAGGGCCCCAATGTTTGCACTCCAGGCGAGACGCTCTGTCCACACCTCTTGTCAGGCACGGACTGCCCTCCCTGGTGGGACCCTCACCCCACACCAGCTGCACTGCCGGACTGGCAGCTTCCTGCCTCCCACCAGAGGCCACGCTGGGCCCCTTCACTCAAGCCCTCCGGTGCCAGGTGCAGGGAAACTGTTGAGCCGAGTGTCCACAGAGGCAAAGGGTTGGATGCAGGGAGGTGGCCCTCAGGAGAGCCCCACAGACGGTGGTCACGTTGGGGCCTTTGGTCTCTGTCTGCCCCCCCCCCCCCCCGTCCTTCCCTCTCCCAGAGGGCTTTGCTCTATCAACCTCTCTCCCACAGCTAAGAAGCACTGGAACTCTGTTCTCTGCTCTAAATACTCCCAGAAATGAACGCATTTCCTTGGCCAGAACGCAGGAAACAAGAACAGTCACACCTGGGGGTTGCCGGGCAAAGGTACAGGGGCGGTCGGTGCTGCAGACTGCCCAGGCCCCTCTCCCAACCGAAAACCTCACCAGCAATCAAGGCTCCACCGCTCACTAAGCTTTGAGATGTGTCGAAAGCCAGGGACATTTAGAGGTGCCTATTTTTACTCCCTTTGGGAACACAACCCTGTCGTTCAGAAAGCTGAAAGGTCTGAATTCACTAAACTCACACAGCTCCCCACCCCCAGCACACAGAAGCAGAAAACAGACCCTGGTGAAGCGAATGCCATGTCCCCTGAGGGAACCTTCTGGTCTCAGAACACCCCGAAGGCTGAGGTGGGCCTCTGCCAGGGGTCACACAGGACCCCATGCTCTCAGAGGCCCAGAAAGATAAAGGAGGAAAAACACTGGCATGTGAGTCCCTGTCCCACCCCTCCCCTCCCCCACCAGAGGGTCTTATCCTGCTGCCACAGCAGGGAGGCCACAGCTCTCCATCAGGGTATGGGCAGGGCCTGTGCAGCACCTGTGGTGAATTTGGGGCTCAACGAAGGCCAGGAGTGCCGTTGGCTGGGCAGAGACAGGACCCCCCACCACCTCAGTGCATCCTGGGCCGCCTGCCCATACACCCAGGCCACCAAGGCCCTCCACAAAGCAAACTCCATTGTGGAGGGGTCATTCCCACCCCCACCCCAGCTCAAGCCAGCTCCCTGCCCCCAGCCTTCTCCAACACACCCCTCAAACTGAGGGCAGGGGAAGGCAGGGATTGGACTGCCCCTGCCTGCCTGTTCTCTTGCCCCTACAGACCCTGTTGGGGGCAATGACTTCCACAGCTGTGAAGCTGGGGTGGGGGAAAATCCCAGCATGGTGACATCACTGCCCTGTGGGGTGTTCACTGCCCCCCAACTTGATGGGCTACATCCCGTCCTGTACCCTCTAGAGGCAGAAGTGGGGGATACCCTCTCGAAGTCCTCTCCCCACCCACGGGGACACCGTGGGACACCGGCCCCCGAGCATCGCGTGTCCCCCCCCCCCCCCAGCTGGGCACCCCCACTTCCCCTCCTCTGCAGCCACATCCCGGCGGGGCACGCCCAGCGGGGCCTCCTCTGGGCTCCTGTCACGCGATGGGGCCATCAGCGCTGCAGTGACAGCCACCTGGACCCAAGCCAGGGCCTCGCGTGCGAGCACAGCCGCAGACGCGCCCCACCCCCAGGCCTGTGGCAAGACAGAAAGAAACCGAATGCAGGAGCCGGGGGTGGGGGCCAGCTTTCCCGGAAATCCATGCGAGCTGACAGTGCCTGCCGCTCACTTCCCAGGTCCCCCACTTCAGGGGCCCTCAGGGAGTCGAAACAGAGCAGCAGACTCGGGTGGGGTGTGGGGTCGCAGCCAGGGTCCCACCGTGCCTCCCACGGGCAGGTGGCCAGGCAGGGCAGAGCAGCAGGGTCCCGGGGAGGGGGGCAACCGGTAAGGAGGGCAGGAGGCAGCCGGTAAGCTGCGCCCCCTCCTCAGCCCTCCTGGCTCAGCTCTGCCCTGGATCCGCTCCCCCACCTCAGGGTTTCTCTCCTGTCCTGCGTTCTCTGTCCCCCCTGAATGCAGGTCTCACCCGAGGGCCTGAGCTGGGAGTGCAACAGGGACTGGGGCTGTGGGCAAGGCCACCAGGGCCCTGGAAACCTCTGCAGACAGACCTCAGCCCCACTGCTGGGTCTGCCCTGGGGGGTCCCCCCTCTCCTCCTCCACGACAAGGGATGAGCCCACCACCTGGCCCCTGTCACCGCCCCCTCTGCACCTGACTGCCCATGGTAACAGGTCAGGGAGAAAGGCTCTTGGGGAACAGGTGGGGGTGCAGGGTGTCCTTCTGGGGAGCTGGTGAGAGTGTGGGGAGAGTCTGCCGGGGGCCCTCCGAAGGCCCGGCTTGTCAAGAAGGCCACGAAGAGGAAGTTCCAGGCATGAGAGCCCCCACAGACCAGCAGGGGCTCAAGAGGCCCATCCACGCACAAGTGGTCCAGACCCCTCGTGAGCCGCTGGCCCTGCCCTGCCCACAGAAAGGAGGCCGGGCTGAGTGCGCTGGCTCCCACCAGGACCACGTCCCATAGGCCCCGCCCTGTGGGCAGCTAGTCCTCCTGCCCTGCCTGGACTCTGAGGGGCAACTGGGGGCCTCTGAGAGCCCTGGGGACTGGCCTGAAGCCAGCTTTCCGCACCTGGTCTGTCACACAGAGCTCGGGGCCATGTGGCAGACAGAGGAGGCATGAGCGAGGCTGCCCACTCCCAGAAACAAACGGACTCCCTTGGGCTCACGGCTCAGCCTGAACCCTGAAGAAGCCAGCTCCTCCCCGACTCTGAGTCACCCAATGACCCCAGAGCACCAGCCACAATGAGACTCTCCAACAACTGGTGCTTCTCACTTCATTGGCTTCTTACACCCTCGAGAAGGTTCATTTGGGACACAGAGAATCCGACAAACCATGGAGACAGTGGCCATCCCTGTCTCCACGCAAGCCGGGGCGGGGGGACGCTTCAGAAGGGAGGGGACACTTCCCCACTTCCCTTGAGGCTGACTGGGACTGCCTGCACCCTGCCAGCTCCTACCCTGCACCCCAACCTCTCCACTATGAGACCTCTATTTCCCTCACACAGGGGAGACTCAGCAAGGTGCCACCCTGGGCCAAACCACATGCCACTGGGGCCTATTGTCCCACCACAGTAGCTGCTTAGAGTTCGTGTGGCTGGGTCTGGCCAATGACAGGTGCCAAGTGTTTTTGGCGGAGGAGAAGCTAGAAGACTCCCTTATCTCTGCCTCTGGATGGTGCTATGATGCTCAGAAAGTGGCAGCCACTTTGTTCCCTGCTCAGGTGAAGCCAACTCCTTTCAGTGCAGATAGGACAGGTAAGCAGGACAGCTGGGTCCAGGTGCAGGGTGCACTGAATGTGAGAGCCGTCTAGAGGTTGGGTAGGACTCCTGCCACCCAGAGCATTAAAAGCCAGGGGCCCCACTGGAGGCTGGACTGAAGCCCCGATTCTGGCCATTTGCAGGTCCTGGAGTGGACGGGCCTATGTCCATTGGCCGGCTGAATCAAACACCTGCCTGGTAAAACGTGGCTTCATTTCGGAGTTGAGCCCTGGGGCCCTGCACAGTGTGTCCCAACTTTCACGCTCTGGGTAGCACCCATGGCACGTCTCCTCCTCCTCTTCCTCCTCCTCCTCTTCCAGCCCCAGTCTAGCAGGCCTTCCCGCTAGAGGCCTGCCCCACGCCTTCACAGGTCAGAGCTGATCTCCACACTTCCCTACATGTCCCTGTGGAGGGAGATGACGTGACCACGGCTCTGCTCTGCTCTTCCTCGTGCTACACCCAGAGGTCAGGGGTAGAGGGGAAACAGGTGAGCTTGAAGCACCCTGGGGACCC